CCCAGGGATCTCCTTCCAGAGGCTGGTGAGGACAGAGCAGGGGCTGCCTGTGAAGAACTACCAGAGCTCCACTGTGTAAGTGTGGCCATGGGCACTGCTGGTGTCTCTCTCTGTAGCATCCCCACCATCCCATGCTGCTTGAACAGCGGTGGGGCTGCAGCAAGCAGCATCTCAAAGGTGTAGTGATGGGTGCCAGGGAGAAGAGCTGCATAGCTGGGCTGAGCTGTGGGAGGGGATGAGGAAAGTGGCTGTGGCATTTCACAGCTGTGGGTCAGGATCTGTGGGCTCCCCACACTGGTTACTGCAGGGCTGCAGTTCTGGGTGCAGACAGCCAGGGAAGGCACAGTCTCCTCCACAGGGAGCTGCTGATCTCGGCACAGGCTGGAGAACAACCAGGAAATGTTTTGATCTGTGTGTTTGGGAGCCACCAGCCCGAGGGAGGACAGAAGCGAGTGTGTCCTAGTGCAACAGCTGATGAAAGCCTCACAGCTCTGAGCACAGCCAGACTTTGGAACCTGTCCGCCTGCCAGGGCACCTCATTTGTGAATAGGAAAACGAGCCCTGGGGCTGTGTGCCCCTCCTGGCTGCAGTGCCAGCCCCAGCCCAGGGACAGTCCTTGGTGCACAACCACCTCCACGCTGTGCAAGGGGGATGTCCTGCGGTTTTGGCTTGTCCTCTCATGCCGTGCAGCTCTGGATCTGCACCTCCATCCCACCCCGCTGTGCTGGCGCTGCCGTGTTGCTTTCCCTGTACAGCTCCCTTGCTCTGCACGCTTATACTGGTGAAAGTACCACCACCGATGATTTACAGCAGGGTGGCTGTATTTGCATAAAAAGCCCTGAAAACTGACACAAATCAGTACACAAGCTGAACCTGGGGCTTATGGAAAGCTTGTGCCCATTGCCTGAGCTTTCTAGAACCAAGCACACCAGAGCACATCCTGAGTTCTGAGCCATTTTTGCTCGGGGAGGTGGACCGCTCTTGTCTGTGAACAGGAGCACATGCTCTGTGGGCTGCAGGTTTGGGAATTCAAAGCCTGTGGATATTCGTGTTGTGGTCCAGAGCAAAAACACAGCTGAGGGATGTGGCTTCTCTCCTTAGACCCCAGAAATGATGCTCTGACCCATACCTTGCAGTGGGAACATGTTTTGGTGCCCACTCACATTTTCTATCCCCTCCTTTATTGCACACATGCTGGATGTCCAGTTTGGACAACTGGCTGCTGGGCTGGAGCCCCATCTGGGACTGATTGAACAATTACTGGACTGTTGATATTGCAGGTGTGGCAGGAGAGGTGGTTCCAGGGATGGTGCCGGGGGGCAGGATGGAGGATGCTCATCCCTTGCCTGTGCCCTGCCCACAGCTGGCTTGGCAGCATGGATCTGGCACACTGCACAGCCCCCAGACCCTCCAGCCACATGTGACTAACGTGGGATGATGCTGCCATCTAGTGTGAATTTGTCCAAGGGTTTTGTGTGCCACCAGTGTCTGAGCCTGGCTTCCTGGCCAACCACTGTCCCCTTGTCCCCAGGACGGTGCTGCTGCTCAACCGCTCCGAGGTACAGAGCGAGTTCCTCTCCATCGCCGAGAAGCTGAGCACCAGCGAGCACTCGCAGCGTGCCACCCTCATCCTGCTCCTGGAGCACCTCTACCAGGCCAACTTCGGCACCCGCTGCGACCTGGACAGCCTGCACCACCTCCTGAAGGTAGGCTCAGAGGGCTTTGATTTCGGTTATGCCACAATGCCATTGGGAGCAGTTTCATGCAGTTGGCTGCTGGATTTCCTGACCAAAATAGTATTTGATTGACAAAAAAAAAAAAAAAAAGTTTTCATAACACTTCTTCTAGGAAAAATGTGTCTTACTCTTCTGAGGTTAGACCTGAGGTCTACCCTTCTGTTTTGTGAAGTGTGGCAGGGGTATCTCACCTTTTACCCTCTTACTCTGTTCCCCATCCCTAAGCAGAGAGAGGAAGAGCCCCTGGATTTGGAATGCAGCAAAAGTGTTCATTTGACTAGAGAAACACTTTGCTTTGGTGTTTGGGAGCGGGGCAAAAAGTTGTGAAGAAAACCCCTTAGGTGTGTTCAAACACATTTACTTTTTTTCTTTGCAGAAGTTTTGTGGGGCACTCGCAGTGGGTGGGAGGTAGAGGAAGGAGAGAGATTTGCTCAGTGGTGTAGGTAGTGACCTTCCCCAAAGACCTGTGTGTTCCCTCCGTGGAGGAACCCTCCTCGATCTCTTGTCTTGGCTCTGCTCCCCCCAGTCCAAGACGCTGGAAGAGCTCTCGGAGATCTATGCCAGCGCCACTGACGCACAGGAGATGGCAGCCACCAGCAGTGACCCTGTCCCAGCCCGGGAGCAGCTGCAGTCCGTGCTGCGGGACATCGCGGGGGCCGCGTCCTTTCCTGCCATTGCAGGTAAGAACCCCCCCGGACCCCTCTTTCCTCCAGGGTTTTCCACTGGCTCAGCCCCTGCAGCGGCGATGAGCAGTTTTGTGCAAAGTTTCAACCTGTAGCACAACAACTACAACAAAAAACCCACCGACCCAGGTTGTGTTTCATAACCACGAGATGAGCCGGGAATGGTTTCACATCCTTCATTTAAACAGCAACAGAAGAATATCTCCAGCCTTTGTGGGCGAGATGAAAACGTTAAATCAGAAACTGCTGGTAGCAGTGGTGTCTGCTGGCTCTTAGAGGTCTGAAATGTCCCCTTGTCCCAATTGCATGTGACTTCATGGGGATAGTGACAGCAGCATCAGTGTTCTGCATGACCTGGGCTGCGCAAAACACCTGCATGGCATGGGTGGCATCTCCCAGTGGCCTGGAGAGCTGTCAGGAGTGGCACTGGGGGTCCCTGCAAACTAACGCCTCTCCCTCCTCTCTTCCCAGGCGAGGCTCAGCCCCACAAGCTCCACACCATCCCCATCCCCGCCGCGCGCTGCTACACTTACAGCTGGGATCAGGATAACTTTGGTAAGAGGAGGGGATCCCTCATCTCTCCTAGTGAGACCACAGCCCTCTGCTCCCCATGGCAGGAGGTGCTGAGCAGCGTTTCAGCTTGGCTGGGGCTGCCACGTGCAGCTGGGTACGTGACACAAACTGTGGCCAGAGCCTGAAAGAGCCGGTAACAAAGTGTTGGTGTTGGAGGGAAGGTAACAGGGTGGGTGACAGTGTCCCCTGTATGGGAGAGGATGTGGGCATCAGCTTGGGCGTGACACTTGCTGTGATCCCAGGCAAAGCCCTCATCTGAGCAGTGGTCCCAAGATGATGGTGGCCCCAAAACACATGTTACGAGAGTCAAATCATGCAGGGATTAATCTCCTGGGCAAAGTTGTGACTTGCATTATGCTGGAAGAGGTTCATCACACCCGAGTCTGTGGGGATGTTGGTAGGATGGGGACCTTGTTTGGTAGAAATCTCCTCGGCAAGGACTAAACCTTGTTCATGCACTGGAAATAACTGTTGCTAGAAAAGCCTGACAGCACCGAGATGTCAGGGCTTTGTGGGTTTGAAACCCTCAGACGTTGCAGCTCTTCCTCCACCCGCAGCAGGGATGGCTGAGGAATGTGTGTCTGTCGTGCTGTCAGCCTGGCCGCAGCAGTTTTGCAGGAGAAGCGGTGGCTTCCCCTTCTGCTGAGCTGGTTTCTCTGGCTTCCCCATTCCTGGAAGACCTTTTCTGTTCCCATCAAGGTTTAGTGTTTGTTGCCTGCTGGCCTAAGCAAGCTGGACCAGAGCTCTGGGTTTGGCTTTGCAGTGAGTCTAGCCGTGCTGGGAGGCCCTCCACAGTGGGGCAATTTGGGATTTGATTAAGCCAAATACGTTGCTTTCCTCCTGCCCTCCAGTTAAACCTGGATCGGATGCGAGTGCATTGTGAAATCTGGGTAGGAAGGAAGCAAAACCCCAACTGGTGTTTGCCTTTTGAGAACCCAAACAGAATGTGACCTCAAGGAGAGAAACACGTTTTGTTTTGCATTGCATCTGAGTGCCTTATGGGAATCTAAAAACATTCAGGAGGAGGTTTTCAGCTCCTTGTTTGGAAGTGTGTGGGATCAAGGAGGGCACTGGCCACCCTGTAGGAGTGTTGTTGGCTGGGGTCATCACATTTCCAGTGGCTGTGCTGGAGCCTGTGCCAGATGCAGTCTCCCTCTGATTGCCTTTCAGATATCCTCAATGATGTCCTCAGCAAAGAGTGCAGCGTTGTTGAGCCCGTGGCCTTGGACAACGAGGAGGAGGATGAAGAGGAGGAGGAGGAAGAGGTGGAAACTGATGGCTGTTTCCCCCAGCAGGACTCGCTACTTCCCCCCATTTGTGCCATTTCCAAAGACTCTGTGTACTCAACGCTGTCGGAGGAGGGATCTAAGCCCTCACGAGTGTCTCTCTTCACCACCTCCAAGGACTCCATCTCGGAGCTGACCATGGTCTCCAGAAAGTCCCTGAAGTCATTTGTCTCCAGCCTGAGGGACTGCATGGACAGTGGGTATGCAGAGGACAGCGACGAGAGCTCCCTGGACATGGTGGGGAGGCCAGAGCTGAAGGTGGAGAAGACCCATCACAAATACAGACACACACTGACCAACAGGATCTACAAACTGTTCAAGAGCAAAAGCCAGCTGGTCTTGAGGAGGGACCTGAAGGACTGTCCGGACACAGGCTCGCTCTCGCTGCCCTTGCGCCGGGCCGAGAGCCTGTGCACCCCCCAGGCCAAGCACCGCGTCCCGGCGCGCTCCCGGCGCGCTCACTCGCTGCCGCAGCACGTCCTGAG